AGATGTGTTCTAATTTTGAAATGAGGAGTTAGTATATATTTAACAGAGTGTATTTTTGGGAAGGATATTATCCATTTGGCCAATTGTGTTTTGTAGGTGTGGGTCTGTGTTAAGAGCTTAGAAAAAGTATCTGAAGTATGGGTAGGCGCTTGTTAGCGACTGTGAAAAACTGTAATTATACATGCATAAAGATTTTAAATTCTCATGTGTCTGGGGTCATATAAACTGAAATCAGAGTAGTCAGGATGTAGATTATGTGTGTATAAAAAAGCAGCTGTATAACAGTACTTAACATCACTGAAGCCTTGGACAATAGTTAAAAATGTGGCTAATTTTTCAAAGACCTTTCTAAAAAAATACATTTGCATACATCAGATAATAGATAATACTGGAAAAACTAGATGAACAATCCATTAAATGGTTACTGATTGATTATCTGGAATCAGACAAACAGGTGTTCAACAAGGATCCATTCTTGGACCTCTTTTGAAGTCCACACACAAAAAGCCATTACCTCAGCCAAGATAAATTGTAATGTACATGTTTATGCAGATGGCACTGTTCTACATGGCCAGTGTTTCCCACATATAGACATTACTTTGGTGGTGTACCCACGTACGTTAAAACCACCCCTTATGCATATTTGGCGACTCATCTCTCTCCAAGAATGACATCATCTGAATTCACTAATGAATAATTTGATGATTCAGTATCATTGTATTATTTGTCTCTCACACTGTTCTGGAGGAATTTTCTCGTTTACACTTCAGTTCATTGAGGTTTGTGAGGATTCACTTACACATCACAGCATTTCTACTGGGATGAGGTCTGGGCTTTGACTGGGCCGTCGTAACAATTTTTTTCTTTCTTTTTTCAGCCGTTCTATTAGATTTGCTGAAGTGCTTGGGATCATTGGGATGGCTGTGTAACATATTTTCAACCATGCTCACATTTCACCCTAAAACGCTTTGGATCTTTGGAGTCCATCTTTAGTTAAATGACTGCAAGGTACCGAAGCCTTATGGCTGCAAAACAAGCCCAAACCATCACCCCTCCTGACAGCCTGACAGCTGTATTTGTGCTGTTGTGCATATTTCTACTTTGCTCGGGCCTGTCTAAAGGACATTCCAGACGTTT